TATTTATATGGTGCAAATATTTGTAAATAAAAAAACTGTATAAAAGTTGCAAACTCAAACTCATATCTCCAATTTAAATGAGCTGAATGTTTTGAATTTTGAATGGCTAAAATAACACAAAGTWTGYAGATGAAGTTAGACTGCAACAACACTATATGGAAAATAAAAACAGGAGAATAAAAGTTTCCTGACTTTTCACACAAAAGGGGATCTTCAGTTCTCGTTAATTGACTTCCTTAATTACAAATTATGACTCTTAAAGGAGGTTTCCTAAACAGTCGATGCATTTTGTGTTTCCAGGTCCTTCACTGTCAAAGAACAAGTTCATAGTTGCCATAAACTGGACGGGGATCACCTTCCTGGATGAGCGAGAGAAGCGGCTGCTGGAGCTGTCGTTCCCAGAGGTGACTGCAGTCCACACCGCCAGGTAGAGATCTGTCTTACTGTTGACGAGGATCCAGAGATCAGGGGGAGTTTTCTGTGAAAACGTTGAAACTGGAACGGCTCTTGCTGTTTTCTTGTTGTTCCTCAGGGAGGCGAAAGCATCTGGTCAGGCTGCAAACCTGCTGACACTGAAAGGAGACTTCACACTGAGTGGGCCCATGGTGGAGGACATGGTGGAGCTCATCACCAAGTTCCTCAGTGGACTGATGGAGCGTTCGCAGTACGCCATAGCCCTGAAGGAAGTCAGCAGCCAAGGTTGGAGCTCTGATTCCTCCTGAACTCAGTTTATTTTTAGATTTTCTTTTAACYGATTCCTGAGTTGTCTTCTTCCCCAAACACAGATGATCCCACGATCCTGAACTTCAAAAAAGGAGAGCTCATCATAATCATCAAAGACAACGAGTTCTCTCAGCAGCGCGGCTGGATAAAGGGCCAAAGCAACAGCACCAAACAAACAGGAGCCGTCTCACTTGACGCCATCTTGATCCTCGCGACGCTTAGTAAACCCTCCAACGAGGTCCTGGTACGGGGATGCCAATCACACATCTTTCTCTGACAAACTGATGTGTCCCAGATGTTTTGACGCCWAAAATACTTTTTTTTWAAATGCAGAACCTCCTGAACCTTTCTCCAAACCAGAGGAAGAACTTCATACAAGCAAACCAGAAAGACAAAGGCACAGTGGAGAGAATAGCTCTCGCCACGCTGAAAGAATACTCTCTGGAGTATTTCAGGTAAACTGTTTGTCTCACTCTGATTTTTTCACCACCCAGTGAGTACACTATAGCCACTGTTCAAAGACTTGGTGCTCAGCTTCTTAACASAAGTGTCACTCATCAGTCCTCCTGTCCCACAGCACTGATCTTCAGAACTTTACAAAACCCTTATTTATGCTACAGGGATCTCTGAGTACATGTTGGCTTTATTGTGTTGTTAAAGTTGTTGCTTGAGGAGCATCAAATTTCCTAATTATTTACATAATTACAGTATATTACATATTCACTTAAGCACTATTTGTTACAATTATGTATAAAGTGCAATATGTATATTATAGATAAATGGAATTATTTTGTTACTGATGCAATGCATTCTGGCGATGATGATGGGTTATAGTTGAGACTAAAACACGGAGTCGAGGCTAAAAAATATGTGAAAATCAAGTTAAATTAGTTTCTATGCTCTGCACAATATATGAGTTGAAACAATGAAACACGATGTTTATTAAATTACTAGTATATATGTGGTGTTAGCTCTCGAGCTAATATAATTAGTTTTAGCTTCTGAACTAATATTGTGAGCTGAGGAGCTAATGCCATATATAAATATAATACAAAGAAACATGCAGTATTAGCTCCTGTGCTAATATKATTAGCATTAAATTCTAAGCTAATGTTGTTAGCTTGGGAAGTAAACATTAGCTCAGAAGTTAACACTAATATTTTTAGCTCAGGAGTTTTAATAAATAATGTGGTGTTAGCACTTGAGCTAATGTCACATCGCAACATATATGTATTAGTTTGGGAGCTAAAACTGAACGCTATAAGGTTAAAGCTGAGGTGAGCATCCATGAAGMAGCTCTGTTGTCCTCCATGCTGAGTCATTTCTACATTCTCTAATCTGTCAACACGCTCTGGTTTCATTTAAAAGGGCTGAATGTCAGATAGTGTCCAARATTCTGAGCTAATATTATGAACAGAAAATGGATAGAGCTCGCACYAGACCTAGTAAGCAAATGGCGTAGTCCGTGTGACAATTCTTATTAATTTTTTTAACTAAACAGTCTACACTATATTTATTGTCTTGCTTATAGTTGACGTAAATATTTATGAAATAATATCTAATGCTTCTGGCTGTACAGAGCAGCAGATTANCTCGCACTAGACCTAGTAAGCAAATGGCGTAGTCCGTGTGACAATTCTTATTAATTTTTTTTTACTAAACAGTCTACACTATATTTATTGTCTGTTTATAGTTGACGTAAATATTTTATGAAATAATATCTAATGCTTCTGGCTGTACAGAGCAGCAGATTAAAGCAATTTTGTGCTACTGCAGTAGATTCACTATAAGTTTCTCCCTCACACTGGACATCTTAAAGACATTTTTTTCTTCTTCGGCAGTTAAACTACCAGACTGTGTTTATAAAGACATTGGACTTGTATCCCACAGGCAGCCCACCAAGGATGTGAACCGTCAGGTGATTTCTCGAAATGCGGCCCCAGAGCGGCTGTGGGCCCACTCCAGAGAGCCGATCAGACAGCCTCTGCTCAAGAAACTGCTGGGCAACTCAGAGCTCAGCCACAAGGCCTGTCAGGCTTTCACTGATATCCTTCCATTTAATGTGTGTCTGTATCTGTGTGTATGTGTCTGTATCTGTGTGTATGTGTCTGTATCTGTGTGTGTACTGTATGTGCTCACCACTGTATCTTTCAGGGGTTATCTGATAATCTCTTGTACCATTTTCCTATTTCACCATTTAACCTTTAAAAATATTCACTCCTTTGAATGTTTTATGCCTTTATTMCTGTCATAAAYCAATCGTGGTATTGTAGGTCTTGTAGACACCTTCAAAGGGAAGTGTTCCWCAAATGTCCCACTGAGAGACGGCTTTGGGGCAAACCCAGGACTTGCTGGGAAGATTATCACAGCTGGCCTCAGAGTCCTTTCAGATGAGCTGGAGGAGGTAGCTGGGGAAAGAGGGCTCTGTGGATCTCTGCTGTCGCCCTAGTGGTCTGGATGAATCAATGACTAGTTGGTGTTTCACAGAAAAGGAGTAGCAAATGTCCAACTTTGACTCAATATTTTTACAAAGTTATGTGTTGGCCCAAATTCAATGGACCAAATAAACATCCCACATAACAACACTTTTGGGGCCAGTTCTGGCCCACACAAAGCACTAAACACTAACATTTGGTCCAGATACCACAAAGCGTGATGGCTCTTTGGTGGCCCAGATGTAGTTTGCCAGAGGTGGTCAGCGCTTGAGCCAGCACCACGTAAACCACATTAATGGGGTGCTGGCTCAACTGGCCCAACCACATTTGGGCCACTTGTGGCACTGACAGGTTTGGGTCACATAAACCAAACCACAAATGGGCCAGTTGTGGCACTAACAGATTTGGTCCACATAACCCAAACCACAGCCGGGCTAGTTGTGGCACTAACAGATTTGGGCCACATAAACCAAACCACGAACGGGCCAGTTGTAGCACTAACAGATTTGGGCCATATAAAACAAACCACAAATGTGCTAGTTGTGGCATTGGTAGATTTGGGCAACATAAACCAAACCACAAATGGGCCATTTGTGGCAATGACAGATTTGGGCCACATAAACCAAACCACAACCGGGACAGTTGCGACACTAACAGATTTGGGCCACATAAACCAAACCACAACCGGACCAATTGTGGCACTAACAGATTTGGGCCACATAAGCCAAACCACAAATACGCTAGTTGTGGCATTGACAGGTTTGGGCCACATAAACCAAAAAAAAATAAATGGGCCATATAAACCAAACCACAACCGGACCAGTTGTGGCACTAACAGATTTGGGCCACATAAACCAAACCACAAATATGCTAGTTGTGGCATTGACAGGTTTGGGCCACATAAACCAAACCACAAATGGGCCATTTGTGGCAAGACAGATTTGGGCCACATAAACCAAACCACAACCGGGACAGTTGTGACACTGACAGATTTGGGCCACATAAACCCAACCACAAATATGCTAGTTGTGGCATTGACAGGTTTGGGCCACATAAACCAAACCACAAATGGGCCATTTGTGGCAATGACAGATTTGGGCCACATAAACCAAACCACAACCGGACCAGTTGTGGCACTAACAGATTTGGGCCATATGAACCAAACCACAAATGTGCTAGTTGTGGCATTGTCAGATTTGGGCCACATAAACCAAACCACAAATGGGCCAATTGTGGCAATGACAGATTTGGGCCACATAAACCAAACCACAACCGGGACAGTTGGAACACTAACAGCTTTGGGCCACAGAAGCCAAACCACAACAGGACCAGTTGTGACACTAACAGATTTGGGCCATATAAACCAAACCACAAATGTGCTAGTTGTGGCATTGACAGATTTGGGCCACATAAACCAAACCACAACCGATCCAGTTGTGGCACTAGAATATTTGAGCCATATAAACCAAACCACAACCGGGCCAGTTGTGGCACTTGCAGATTTGGGCCATATAAAGCAAAGCACGAATGTGCTAGTTGTGGCATTGACAGATTTGGGCCTCATAAATCAAACCACATATGGGCCAGTTGTGGCACTGACAGGTTTGGGCCACATAAACCAAACTACAACCATGTGGCTTTGATATATTTGGGCCACATAAACCAAACAACAGCTGGACCAGTTGTGGCATGTCATCTTAAAACAGTGCCATTATTCCCATACCTGGCCCACATCTGGTTGACAAACCACTTGACATATGTCAGTCGTCCCAGCCTGACACTAGATCTGGCCCACACCAGTCTGCTGTGTGGGACTCTAATYTTCTTCATGTAGGTTCTCTTTGCTCCTGGTTGAAAGGTTTTAAARTCCGATGTTTCTTATTGTTTCTCCTTGACTTCTGTGCACCCATCCTGAAGTACATGGGAGATTACCCCACCAGACAGTTGCAGAGTCATGTCGAGCTTACTGAACTGATCTTCGGTCCTGCCACTAAATACGACGCCCTCAGGGATGAGATCTACTGCCAGATCATGAAGCAGATGACCAGCAATAACAACAGGTTGGTGGGATATTTCTTCTCTTATCAAACTGACTCCACCAGGCTCTCTGATTTATCAGTCTACATCCATTCAGATACGTACATCATGTGTTTTGCTGTAAAAAGGAGACCCGTTTTCTGAACGTTGTCGGTCTGTTTGTCAGGTTCAGCATTGAMCAGGGATGGCAGCTGCTCTGGCTCTGCTGTGGTCTGTTTCCTCCCAGCCAGTCTCTCCTGAGGCACGCGCAGAGGTTTCTGGAGTCGCGTCGCAGAGATAACCTGGCCTCCGACTGTCTGCAGCGTCTGCAGAGCTCGATGAGGTTCGACGGGCACAYGGAACACGTCTGACACAAAACATGACACTTGTTCGTGCTTGCAGAGCCTGACATGCAGCTACATTCACACAATGCTCTGCTGTGATGGAAGAAGCAAGCTTCATGTTGTGACAGCTTGAGTTTTGTCATGGTGAGGTAAACTGAGTTAAAGGAAATCATATTCTGCGTTCTTTGAGAGGTGTGCAGCACTGCTTGCAGTGATGGACAAACACAGTAACAGATAATCTGTGAATGCAAATCACCTTYGCAGCAGAATGACCGACTGAGCTCTGTATCTGGGTGACCTTTGCTATAAATACATCTTATTTACATTCAGCATTTTTACAAACAACGACCAGAAACAGACTTTCACAAACAGGTGAAAACTAGAGTGGTGCTGTTAGTACAAGKTTTTTCTGTAATATAAAAGAAAAAGAAAACTCTGGAGACAAATCTATCCCTTAGTAAAAATAAACATTCTGGTAAATTAACATAAAACTACATCTACCTAAAGAATATTTGAGACATTTCATATGAGATGCTGTTCGGAAAGTGGCTTGTGTTAAAAACAACAGCAAAAGTTTGTCACAAAAATTTAATCGAAATGCTAAATCTAAATGTTAAAGCTACATATATAC